TTAAACCAGCTTCAGAGGAATCCAGAAAAGGTTTTCACCCCCCTCAGGGTTATTCTGTAAGTAGATTTCAAAGCATGCTGACAACCAGGGCGCTGCCGTGCTTTCAAATACGGCACCGTTTGTCTCAGTGTTGGCCCCTGCGGGCTCCACGAGAGGGTGCGGCGTACGCCCGTGTTGCGCATTACGTCAGGGACGCTATAGGCACGCAGACCCCACGTGACGCTAAGCAAAAGGACAAACTTTTCTATTAAGGCATTTGTAGAATGTGTAGTATCAGCACTTCAAGACATTGCCCTCGAAACACCCGATCTACTTAACACAAAAAAGAAAAATGCCAAACACTTCAGTCACGAAAAGCGGGATGAGCCTGCGGAAAGGCCCCCAACACCCGGCTGCATACAGACCTCCCTGCCGAAGTGAACGCTGCGCTGCAAGCTGGTGTGTTCAGAACCCCTGGCCGAAAAAAACGTTCATCTGACATTGCCTGTTTGCCATCCCCAACTTCCCCGGTTGCTGGAAACCAGCCTCAGAGGCTGCTCTGGAAGAGCCTGGCTAGCACAGAGAGCAAGGGGTTTTCACAGCAAAAACTAGGCAGCACAAGAGAGTTTATTTTGCTTAAAATATAGAGGGAAAAAATAAATACATCCACCCACAATACAAAGAGCAGTTTCCAAATTCATGTACTTCTCTTCCAAGGACTTCCTCTGACCGGGAGAACAGAGGCAGTCGGCCCCCTCGGAAAGAGCTCCTCCACCCGACAGCAGCTCCGTGGCATCACTGTACATAACCAGCGCACTCAGTCTGACATCTAAGGTAAACCAAAGCAAACTGCCATGTTTACTCCTCTGACTCTGGTGCCTCCCAGAGAAGCCACGGATACCTCCGCATATGTACAGTGTATTTATTCCTATATCTCCAGGACACAGGCAATTCTTACAGGATTTCCAGGCCCTGCTCCCTCTGCAGCAAGGGCATCAGCCCACATTCTGCCGGTTGCCATAGCCCCGTGGGTGTGTATCCTTCCAGTCATCCCAGTTCCGAGCTTTCTGAAGAGCTTCCTCATCATCCTCCTCCTCCTCTTTCTCCTGCTGCTGCTTCTGCAACTCTTCATCAGTTATACCTGGTCAAGAACAGGAGTGAGGAGCAGTAAGACTGGGAAGATGACTCGTCGAGTTCTCAAAACAGAAGCCCTGCCAGGAGCTGGTCTAGACAGAAAGCGGGAATCACCGAAGCGCAGTCTGGCAGTCCAGTTATTCTCACAGCCTAATGAAGTCTGTTCTTACTCTTCCTCAGTCAGTGGCTGGTTTACACCCTGAACACGTCCCCGTTCACCCTCCCCCTCAAGAGGCTTCCCGAATTCTCTATTCCCACCTTCGCTTTGCCACCCCGTACCTGGCATTCTCTGAGGCGCGCTCTGACCAGACACGACGCCTTGCCTTCTGCGCTGCTCATACCAGTCATCCACTGTCATCGTCGGCAGGCCGGGATATCCAGCACCAAACACTCTACAGGAAGAGAGAGACAGTGCAGGAAGGCGCTTTACATCGCTAGGAATGAGCGGAACCACAAACAGCCATGCACAGAACTACTCCGTAATCCAGTCTGTACTAATGATGTAAGGCACGTTATCAAGGAGGGCTTGAGAACAAACGTATTTCTACAGCCCGGGCCTTCAGCGGCAGACCTGCCAGTAACCTGGCCCTAACAGCATTTAACGAGTTCATCCTGCTAGTTTAGAGAGATGAGGACTGCTCTGGTCCCAAAGACCTTGACTCGCCTCTCCAGCCCTGAGGAGAACACTCTGCTAGCACAGCTTGCCAAGGAGGCCCTTGGGAACTGAGTTACGCACGGCTTGGCTAAGTAGATACACGAAAGGCTCAGGACACGTAACATCAAAATCTGGTGTCTATCCCATTTTGTGCTTTGGCCTTGCAAGAATCTCCCGGTGCCACAAAGAGTTAAGATCTCAATACCCTAGGGAAAGCCTTCCAGTTAAAAACTGTATTCTTGTGACCAATGATTCTCTGGTAGGCATCACTTCTTCCCAGCCCCTAAGATCACTTATTGGAATTCACTGAAATCTTCCAGAGTTTACATTAGATTAAGAGACCACATGTGCTTTTCACTGCTGGGCTCTTTATTTTAACAGTGAAGAACAATCCTGTTGTATCACACAGAGGTTAGAGGGGCAGATAAGCCTTGCCTCTCCCCAGCTTACCAAACAGCAAGCACGTGGCCTATAAACTAACACAGTAATATTTGCTTAATACAATCTCCTCCTTCTGCCATCCCAACAGGAGGAAAGAGCATTAGCTAAGACACTGCAGCTTGCTGGTAACAGAATAAATCGGAGAAAGTTCAAAAATGCATTAGATGTTCCCCCCACCCGCTGCCCAGATGCACAACACGTGCAGTCTTGATGCAACGCGCTGCCTGAAGGTTTTCTGCATTTGAAAGAGTATCTCAGGCTTGACGCGAGAACAGAGCGCTGCCTCGTACCGTGTCTAAATTAATTGGGAAACAACATACTTAGCCTGAGCAGCATCCCGGGTAAGAATGAAAGGTTTCAGCGGAGCTCTGACTTGCCGAGAAGTACCGTGTGGTGGTGCTGAAGCCTGAAGATGCAAATGACAGTCACAAGGTAATCGTGTAGATGAGAATCCCCTTCTCTGCTTCCCACCCCCAACAAGTTATTCGAGGTCTTGTAGAAGAGAAATGCCTCTGCTGTCAAGAGCAACATCCCAAGATGGACAATTCAAGCCCTAATCCAGTTTAAATTGTGAACTCCATCTGTGAGCTTCCACAAATCACTTCTCTTTGTGCCTTTGTTACACCCGCTCTGATCAAAGCAGACAGCTGACAGAGCTAAACCAGATCAGCTCAGATCAAAGCATGAAATATAGCTTTTTTTCTCCCAGGGATCAAATGCAGTACATTCTGAAGCAAGTAGAGCTCATCGTTCCCGATAATATCACTCAGGGCACAAACCAGCTGTGCTGACAAAGCTGGACCATGGTTTTGTCAGCACATTATGGTTTTTTATTTCTAGACAGACACTTTAGATGAGTAACATAAAGCCCAGAAGCACTGCTCTACCCAGGAAGTGCAGGTCTATGAGAAGCTTTCAGCATTCAGAATGGGCGTTTCTTCCTGTAACGCCTGGACACTTTGTAGGCCAGAAGCGTAGGTTTGAAAGAAATTACAAGGGTCTTCTTTTAATTTACAAATGTACTTGGTTCTTTAGAGTGAAAGGTCTGGCAGAACCCAGCAAAGTGGAGAAAAGCCTCTGCACGCAGACCGGTTCAGCTCCGATACTCAACGCTCCAGCATTTCACAAGCCACGACTGTCTAGAACGCGTGGTAGCGCTGGACAGTGCAGATCCAAAAATCAGACCACTGCCCATTCAGAATTACACCAAACCCCATCTGCCAGTTGCTGTGATCGAGCTCAATTTCAATCAAGAATTCACAGAATAAAACTCATGAAACTCTGCTACTGAATTCCTC